CATGGAGGAGATTGACAAGGAGATCAGTGAGATGAAGCTGTCAGTCAATGCCCGTGCCCGCATTGTGGCTGAGGAGTTCCTTAAGAATGTGAGTAGGGGCCTTTCAGCTTTCCTTCCAGAGGCCAAAGGATCTGGGAGTCATGTTGAGAACTTAGCATCTGGTGGGAAAGGGGTCCAAGCAGTGTGTTTATATCTTCTGAGCTCTCTAGGACCCCTGGGCACAGCAGGTCAGTCAGGTGCTTTGGAGCCAGAGGACCCCAAGTTCATCTCTGAGAGCTACAAGGCGTTTTCTATATTTGGGTGTCTGGGATGTCTCCTAGTCCCTCATAGGAACTGGACACTCATTTCTACATCTCAAGATGTTCACAAAGGCCTTACCTCTATCTTATTCAAACCCCAAGCGAGGCAAGTGAAGTCTGCATGTGAATTTTCTAGGAATATAGGACAGTTAATCATGTTATAATTCCACTTCTCAAATAGACTTCAGTACTTCCCTTCAGCATGTTTCTCAGGCTTAGTCATGATTCCTTCAACATGTTTTCTATCACTTGCATGATATCAGTCCTCCAGATTCCTCTTACATTGTTTATGCCTTTCTAATTGACAGCACATAGTCATCTGAAGAGGTAGAATTGTTTACATTGATGAACTGATGACATAATTCTTAGTTGTTTAGATATTCAGAACATGCCTTCTTTTTTTTTCTCCTTTTTCCAAACAATCTTCGGTTTGTTGATATGTTCTACACTAAGTCTCTAGATGGTAGACTTAGTGTGTACTCCCACTAGTAAGTACACACCCAGTCCAGAAGGAGCTCAGATTCCTAAAAATGGAAATTATACCCGCTTCCCTTGGGATTTAATTATACTGAGGGTGGCCAGTATACAGAGTAGCCATAGTGTGTGCACAGGTCAGCATGGTTGTTCAGCTCACTCAGCTGTGGAGGCAGACCACCTGTGTGTGAATCCAGGCTCCACCACCTACTCAGGCATGTCACTGAACTTTCAACTAAGCCTCAGTTTCCTCAGCTGTGAAATGAAGGTCTGGTAATTAATACTTATCTTTCAGAGTGGTTGAGCATTAAGTGAGACCATGTGTGTAAAACATAGCACCTGGTACATAGTAAGCTTTCCATGTATTGCAGCACTGAAGTTTTATGACCAGGATACTAGGAACCCTCTAGATTGAACTGGAAGGGGAAAATAGCTCTTGTTCCAATATTGGCTCACTCATTTCAACAATCATTTACTTATTTATGATAATTACATCACACAGAATTAGACACCTAAAAAAGTATGTTCACATATCCCGTTTATTACTCAAAACAATCTTTGAGTCAGCTATTATCGCCATTTTAGAGATTAATAAACTGGGGCTCTAGAAGCAAAAGCACCTGTCCAAGGTCCCTCAGCCAGTAAGGAGGAACCAGAATGTGGAGCTGGGTTTTCAGACTCAGAGGTCTAAGATAGTACCATAACCTTTGTCGGGGTCACACATTCAGGTGCATCCAAAGGTTGGGTAGCCGTGGAGTGGGCAGGATGAGGAGCTGCTAAGCACATGCCTCATCTGCAGGGGCTGGCTCCCACACACCTCCAGGCCATTGAGCCCCCAATTTTTTTTTTTTTTTTGAAATGGAGTCTCGCTCTGTTGCCCAGGCTGGAGTGTGGCTCACTGCAAGCTCCGCCTCCTGGGTTCATGCCATTCTCATTCCTCAGCCTCTCAAGTAGCTGGGACTACAGGCGCCCGCCACCACGGCCAGCTAATGTTTTTGGTACTTTCAGTAGAGATGGGGTTTCACCGTGTGAGCCAGGATGGTCTCAATATCGTGACCTCATGATCCACCCACTTGGGCCTCCCAAAGTGCTAGGATTACAGGCGTGAGCCACCGCGCCTGGCCAACTAATTCATATTCTTTTAAACACCATGTGGGCCATACAGTGCTCATCTTTGGGCAGGTTTCAGGCATGGACCATTGGTTCACAACCTTTGGTCTCTAAAATGTCCAGGGCTGTCCTAGGCAGCATGGGGGTCCCTTGAGGGCAGAAAACATTTCAAGGTCCTGTCTTGGTTGGAGGATCATCCAGAGCTTGACACAAAAGTACCAGAACCTGGGTCCTTCTCCACTTGGCCCTCTGAGTCCCCAAGCCCCTTGCATGAGAGCCCCCATGCCTAAAGAAAGCAACCCCAGTTCACCAGGCAGGACGCTGACAGGGCTTTCTAGCAGCCTCCATGCCAGGGCACAGGGGAGCTGTGGATAAGCTCCATGGCTGTTAATTTTTCTGCCTCATCTAGTGTTAGGCTTAGGGCTGGTGCCCATAGGTCACTTCTGAAAGCTGGCTGAATTAGAGCATGACCACAAGGTGTCCTGGGACCCAACTCTGCCCATCAGAGATATGAGCACAGTGGCAGCTCAGGTTCATGCACCTCCTTAGAGCAGTCCTACCAGGATGCAATAATAACCACCATGCACTGCCTCTTGGTTCTCTTGACAGTTTTAAACTATCTGGCTGGATCTTGTGGCCTTCCCCCTCAGACTACCCATGTCTCCACGAAGGCGTCCTGGAGTCACTCCCCAGAGCAGCGGCGGCAGCGGCAGCAGGGAGCTGGGTTGGGGTGGGCATTTGATGCGGGAGGTGGGTGATGTGCTTGCTAGCTGGGCAAGAAAGCAGCTGTGGACCTGCCCCAAGGCCACACATGCCTGGTCAGGCTGGCTTCTGATGTTCAGTGCCCTGGGCCGGGACAGATTTTTTTTAACGTCTTGAAACTTAAACTCTGTGCTTGTAGGATACTGTAACCATATAGTCATTTTTTTTTTTTTTTTTTTTAAACCTCCACCTCCAGTGACTGTGACTGGTCCCAGTGATTGTACCTTATTGGTTGCTGTGGGTCTGGGCGGGCCTGGAGCCAGAAGGCGACTTTATTTTTTCTCTCCTATGCCACCCCAGGTGGGGAGGGAGGGAGGTTTCAGACTCCGGTTTCTCTCCCTTACCCTTTTATTCCCAAGCCTCCTTGGCCCCAATATAAGTGGTGGGAACCCTCTGCCAGCTTCCTGAGTTCTGCCTGAAGATGGCCCCCCAGCACTGGTTGGGGACAAGGGCCAAATTGGTGACCACCAGTCATGCCTAGGACCTGGGGCCCAAAAGCCAGGCAACCCCTGACTACAGGGGCCACTGGGTACCCTCCTAGTTGAGAGGGGCCGCTGTTTCGCCTTGTCCGTCAGTGCCAGTGCCTGTGCCAGAGGTTGCGAGGTGAGTCCTCCAGAGCTTCCCAGCCGGGCCCTCCTCCTGCCTGTTCTGGCTTGTCTGCTCCCACGCTAGCTGTCCCTTTTCTGATTCTGGTGGATCCTCCCCTAATTAAAGTCTCTTTTTGCCCCTTTGGGGCTGCATGAGGTCTTTGCTGTCTGTGTGTATGAAAGGAGGGGAGGTGGGGCTTCTTTTCCTTGAGACTAGATGGCTGGTAATTGTGCCTGGAGCTCCCCACTGGGTGCAATCTCATGATTGGTCCCGCCATTATTCCTACCAGGGGCCCCAACCCAGAGACTCCATTCATTGTAGTCCAGGCACCATTCATTTCTGAAACTGCTCTCTCTGCCTATACAGAGCTTGGGTGCTTTTCATATAATGAACTTACTTGGGCTAAAAAGTAACCTCAGAGAAACAGTGCTCCCATTTGGTGGATAAGGAAACTGTGATTCCAAACATGAGATGTAATAACTTGCCCCAAATCTAGCCAGTGAGCAAGAGAGTAGACTTTTGTCTGTGCCAAAACAGTAATCACCATCCACAAGTGGCTATTTAAATTTTAATTATTACAATTAAAGTTTAAAATCCAGTTCCCGGCCGGGCGCGGTGGCTCAAGCCTGTAATCCCAGCACTTTGGGAGGCCAAGGCGGGTGGATCACGAGGTCAGGAGATCGAGACTATCTTGGCTAACATGGTGAAACCCCGTCTCTACTAAAAATACAAAAAACTAGCCGGGCGTGGTGGCGGGCGCCTGTAGTCTCAGCTACTTGGGAGGCTGAGGCGGGAGAATGGCGTGAACCTGGGAGGCGGAGCTTGCAGTGAGCCGAGATCGCGCCACTGCACTCCAGCCTGGGAGACACAGCGAGACTCCGTCTCAAAAAAAAAAAATAAAATAAAATAAAATAAAATAAAATCCAGTTCCCTAGTCCCACTGGCAACTTAACAGCTACCAATGACTGTACCATGTATAACAGCATATATAGACAGAGCATATACAACACATACATAGAGATTCCTATCATTGCAGAAAGTTCCATTGGATAGTACTATACCTTAGTAACACCTCGAAGTGAAAAAAAAAAAAACCCTTGTGTTTGAGTCCTGATTCTTCTTGACAAATTTGGTCAAGTTATTTCTATTTTGTGTCTCAGTTTCTTAGTCTATAAAGTAGAGATAATGAATATGAACAATCTGACATGGTCCCTGCCACACAGGTACTGACAACCGTAGTTGTTCACCAGCCCAGTGGCTGGGCTGTTGAATAATTTCCAGTGTTCATGATGTTATCCTTGCCTTGAAGAGACTTGGAGGTCCAGGAAAAGGGCTAGGTATGTAAAAGGTTCACTGAAGTGTTTTATGTTTAATATTGGAAGTCTGGGGGCCAAGGGGTAAATATAGGAGAGGGTGTCAGGGTAAGCTTCAAGAAGGGTTAACCTTTGAGCTGAGCTTTGAAAAGGGATTCTTCCAGATGGCCAGAGGGGTCTCTCTTGATGGGGTGGACAAGGTGATGTTAAAGGCAGGAGGGCGCGAGGGCAACCTGAACAGCTATTGCCCCTCTCCCCCGCCACCTTTTTTTTTCCCCCATTTTTGAGACGGTCTCGCTTTGTCACCCAGGCTGGAGTGCAGTGGTGCAATCGTGGCTCACTGCAGCCTCAGCTTCTCCAGGCTCAAGTGATTCTCCCACCTCAGCTTCCTGAGTAGCTGGGACCACAGGCTTGTGCCACCACGCCCAGCTAATTTTTTTGTTTTTGTTTTTTGTTTTTTTTAGTTCTCGCTATGTTGCCTGGGCTGCCTTGGGTGATCCTTCCGCCTCAGCCTCCCAAAGTGTTATCATCCCCTTTATGACATTACCTCTGTGACCTACCTCACTACCCCTCTGAATTAGATGTTCCCTCCTCCAGGGCACATGGCTATGTTCTAGCTTTGCAGTGAATGTTAAAGGTGGTCACAGTGAAACTGGGTGACTAATAGGGTATAGCAGCTGGTCACTCAACAACCCTCACAGGAGAGCATTGCCTGGGTGAGCCAGCCACAACCCTCATTTGTCACGTATCTCTCTCCCAGGGTCCAAATTCCCTAAATCACCTCTCCTGGATGTGCTTTTTGGGAAGTCCAGCCATCAGCTAAAGGGGGTTGGGGTCAGCTGGACAGAAAGGTGGGGGATCCACCTTCATTTAAGAGCACATCTCCCCAGTGACTAACAAAGCTGGGCTCTGACCAGGGTACTCTCTTCAACTCTGCCTGCATGGGCACTGCTAGAGTTGGCCTCTCAAACTGTCCCTGTGTGGTCCTTCTGTGACTAACAGGCAACCTTCTGTGTGATAACATACAGGTGTTTAAGAGACAGGCTTTGGAGTCAGACCTGGGTTGCAATGCTGCCTCTGCTCTGTGATTTGAGGCAAATTGTTTAACATCTTGGAACCTTATCTCCCCTGTGACTTTTGAGGATAATACTTTGCCAGTGCTTCCAAAAAGGTTGCTTACAGTCTTAGCCTGGGGGCCAGGCATAACTGTTCTGATCTGTTACATTTCTTTCACAGTTGACTCAAATGATGATCAGTTTTTCCATTTCCAAGTTCCTGGGGAGGGTGTGCTCTGCACTTTCGTGTTACCCCCATATGCTGCCCTCGCTAAGGACCTTACCCTAGGCCCATCTGCCAGGCCCGGCAGGTCTGATCTGTCCTCGCCAGGCTCCAGCCACTCTGGCTGTCTTGTAGTTCTTAACCCTTCTCGGCTGTTGCTGGGACTGTTTGTTCCCTGAAGTGCTGTTCCTCCCCTTTCCCTGGTGACTCCTGACTCCTCGCATTTACATCTTCAGCTTAAATGTGTCACCTCTTCAGAGAGGACATCCTCTACCTCCACTTTATCTAAAATGCGTCCTCTTCCTGGTTTCACCTCTGCTTGTTCATTGCCCTTATTATACCTGTAACTATTCCCTTCCTTTGTTACTTTTTATTCCCCTCACTGGGCTGTAAGCTCCATGAGGTCAGGGGCCATTTGTTAGCGCCTATAAATACTGTAGAATCGCTCAAACCCCAGGGCCGGTGGCACCAGGAAGTACTGGATAAGGAACCGCGACACTAACTGGGGCTCAGTGCTCTCTTCCGCCTTCAGTGCTCCACTCATCAAGGGTGTGGGTGAGGCCCCAGGTCCTGAGGAAGCCCTCGCTTGACTGCCCCGGGACCCACCGCAGCCCCCAACCAACCCCGAGCGGTCTGATGGTGCCCAGGGAATGGTTTCCAAGGCAATAGCAAACGGGGCGGGGCTTGGAACGGAGGACAAGGCTCGAGCCTAGGCAGGACCTTCCCGGGAGAGGAGGCAGCGACGCGGAGGGGAGGCGGGATCAGGGGCGCTGGGAGGGCGAGCACAGCGAGGGGCGCATGCAGGGCCCCGACGCGCCGCTGCTCCTGAGCGCTGGGGAGCTGGGGCCCGGGCGCCGGGTCTCGGCCTCCTGGTACCGCCAGGGGGGCGGCCCGGTGTGCAACTGGCTGCGAAAGCCGCAGCCGCTCGAGCCACGCACCAGTTTCCCCTTGGCCCGCCGCTCCGAGTTCCGTCCACGCAGGAGGCTGCCATGGCCCGGCCCTGCCTCCGCCCAGCCCGAGGAGGGTCACGCAGGCGGTAGATGCCAGGCGGGCAGCCCCGCTCCTGCGCGCCGCCTCGGCCGCGCCTTCAAGACGCTGGTCCCAGGCACCCATGCCCAGGGCGCCGCGGATCCCCGCCCCCTCGGCCCCCCGCACACCCCGGTCCTGGATGACCCCTCTCCGCAGGATGGTGAGGCCCCGTGCGGCCCGTTCACTCTGGCCTACAGCGGCTGCGAGGACGACAAGATGCTAGGGTGGAGGGAGGGAATGGGGGTCTGGAGAAGAGCGGCCAAGGGTGGACATCCGGATGAAGGCCGGAGGCAGAGAAGAGGCGTGGCTATCGGCGGCGAGAAAAGATCCTGGGCCGAGACCCTAGGCCCAGGCCCAGTCTACCCCGCCCCTACTCCGCATCTTTCTGCAGGTTTCCCAGTCCTCTGGCGAGGATCCTCCAAGGCGTCTCACATGAACCGGCTCAGAAACGCCAAAATCTACGTGGAGAGAGCTGTCAAGGTCAGAGGAGGGGCGGGGACGCTTAGAAAGGGCCCTGGGAGCGGCTCAACCTGTCTCCCTGCGCTGTTTTCTTATATCCTTAAAAAACAAAAGCAAAAGAAAAAACAACAGCAAAAACCCTCAACCACCACACCCATCTTCAACTACCTCCCCATTTACCCCTTCAGCACCAAACTTCTGGGCTCCGTCCACTCTGGTTCCCTGTGATGTCCCACTCTAATCAAGGTGCCTGGTGAGTTCCAGGGAGCCAAACCCAGCAGTGCCTTTCTGTTTTGATCTCGGTTGGGCACCCTGTATCTTTCTACACTGCTGCCCCACACACCCTTCCCCTTGGCTGTCTGACTGCACGCTCCTCGTTTTCCTTTCTCCCTCTTTGGCTGCCGCTTTTCAGTGGCCTTTAAAGGTTCCTTGGCCATTAGTGGCCCCCTGGCCCCTTCCCCAGGTCTGTCTCCTTTGGCTGTGTCCTTGGCTGAGTCCGGTCAGTGTGCTGCACCCCCTCTGTGCCCCTTCCAGCCCAGCCTCGAACTCCACATCCCGTCGATCCAGCCCCCTACCTATCATCTACACCCAGAAAACTTAACAAGCATTTAAAATTCATGTCCCAAACCAGACTTTGATCTTCCTGCCCAAACCTGTTGTCCTCCCCAGTCTCTGGTCTTTCCCATCTCTCAGTTCCTCAGGCCAGAAATCTCATCTCTCTGTTTCTTCACCCACAGGTCTAATCCCATCAGCAAAACCACTTGTCATCTCCACCTCCAAAACGATTCTCAACTCTAGCACCTTCTCCAGGCTGTGATGTAACCACTTTCATTTTAGTAATTGTGATTTCTCTCAATAGGCAAACCATGACAGCCTCCTAACTGGTCTGCCTCTATCCTGTCCCCTCATCTTTTTGCCATACAGCAGCAAGCCAAGCCTGGAAAGACTCCCTCAGTTAGCCTTTTTTGCTCACGACACTCTTAGTATGAAATCCAAGTCCGTTCTGAGGCCTGCAGGCCTTCCACAGTCTGGCCACTGCCTACCTCCTCTGGGGCTTTCCCCATCATTTTCCATGCTCCACTCACTCTGGTCTCCCTTCAGTTCCTTCTGACCTCTCTCCAGCCTCAAGGCCTTTGCACATGCATTCCCCTCTGCCTGAATCGCCATTTCCCAGTTCTGTGCATTCATGGCTTCCTTTCAACCTTCCCTGGCCATGTATTTCTAAGTAGTTTCTCTGGATCCCATTAAGTATGCAGTTTCTGGAGCCAAACTGCCAGGATGTAAATCCTTGCTCTTTTGCTTAACCACTGTGGGGCCTCAGGCACCCTGCTCAACTTCTCTATGCCTCTGTTTCATAGCCAGTAAAATGGAGATAACAGTATCTAATAAAAATGTATATTGGCCGGGCACGGTGGCTCAAGCCTGTAATCCCAGCACTCTGGGAGGCCGAGACGGGCGGATCACGAGGTCAGGAGATCGAGACCATCCTGGCTAACACAGTGAAACCCCGTCTCTACTAAAAAAACTAGTCGGGCGAGGTGGCGGGCGCCTGTAGTCCCAGCTACTCGGGAGGCTGAGGCAGGAGAATGGCGTGAACCCGGGAGGCGGAGCTTGCAGTGAGCTGAGATCCGGCCACAGCACTCCAGCCTGGGCGACAGAGTGAGACTCCGTCTCAAAAAAAAAAAAAAAATGTATAGTATTGGCCAGGTGAGGTGGCTGACACCTATAATCCCAGCATTTTGGGAGGCCAAGGCAGGAGGATCACTTGAGGCCAGGAGTTCAAGACCAGCCTGGCCAACACAGTGAAACTCAGTCTCTACCAAAAAATATAAAAATTATTTGGGCGCCGGGTGCGGTGACTGATGCCTGTAATTCCAGCACTTTGGGAGGCCAAGGTGGGTGGATCACCTAAGGTCAGGAGTTTGAGATCAGTGTGGCAAATATGGTGAAACCCCGTCTCTATTAAAAATACAAAAATTAGCTGGGCGTAGTGACACACAGCTGTACTCCCAGCTACTGGGGAGGCTGAGGCAGGAGAATCGCTTGAACCCGGGAGGTGGAGGTTGCAGTGAGCCAAGATTGTGCTATTCCAGCCTGGGTGACAGAGGAAGACTCCATCTCAAAAAAAAAAAAAAATCTGGGCATGGTGGTGCACACCTGTAATCCCAGGTACTCAAGGAGGCTGAGGCAGGAGAATCACTTGAACCCAGGAGGAAGAGGGTGCAGTGAGCCGATTGTGCCACTATACTCCAGCCTGGGCAACAGAGTGAGACCCTATCTCAAACAAAACAAAACAAAAATGCCTAATGTATTGTTAGTAATGCGTGTAAGTGCTCAGCACATAGTAGGTCCTCAATAAATAGTAGCCATTGCTATTATTATTACCGTGCATATTTATTTCTCTACTTATTTATAGTCTGTTTATTTCTCCTACTGGAATATAAAAATTTCCTGATGGCAGTGTCCATACTGTCTGGTTCACCTTTATATCCCCTATGTCTGGTACTTATGCAATACTTATTGAAGAAGTATCCATCTCTCACCTTGCAGCAGAAGAAGATCTTTACAATCCAAGGCTGCTACCCAGTGATCCGGTGTCTCTTGCGCCGGAGGGGCTGGGTGGAGAAGAAGATGGTCCATCGCTCAGGCCCCACCCTGCTGCCACCCCAGAAGGATCTGGATAGCTCAGCGATGGGTGACAGTGACACCACTGAGGATGGTGAGTGGTTCCCTCCCTTTCCACAACTGTCCCTCCTGAGTCCCTTTTCTTTGGTTCCCACTGTCCCAGGGTTGAGGCCTTATGGACTATGGGGCAGGGAGAGGAAACTCATCAGCTCTGGCCTCTGCATCCACAGAGGATGAAGATGAGGATGAGGAGTTCCAGCCACCACAGCTGTTCGACTTGGATGATTTACTGAAATTTGATGACCTAGATGGAACACATGCTCTGATGGTGAGGGCCCTGGGGGACAAGATGAAGCAGGGGCTGCCTGCTTAGAGGGAGAGCATTGGTGTCCAGCTGGGTGACCTCAGACAAGTCCTTTCTTTCTCTGGGCCACAGTTTCCCTATCTGTAGTAAAAACTGCTTCTTTAAAGGCTGGATAGAGCTGGGCATGGTGGCTCATGCCTGTGGTCCCAGCTACTCAGGAGGCCAAGGTGGGAGGATCACTTGAGGCTAGGAGTTCAAGACTAGCCTGGGCAACATATAAGACTCAGTCTCTACAAAAAAAGGTAGAAAAACATTATCCAGGTGTGGTGGCATGTTCCTGTAGTCCCAGCTACTCGGGAGGCTAAGATGGGAGGATCGCTTGAACCCGGGAATTACAGGCTGCAGTGAGCTATGATCGCACCACTGCACTCCAGCCTGGGCAACAAAGCAAGACTCTATCTCTAAAAAAGAAATAAGTGAATAAAGGCTGGATAGGGCCGCAGAGTGGGGAGGGACACATCAGGCCTGTGTCCCATCTGGCCTGTGGTTCAGAGCTCTGCTAGGTCATACCAGATGCCAGCACAGCTTCCATGCATGGTAACTCCCCCTTCAAATAAAAACCCCATAGTTCACCTTCTCCCTCTGCTCTTGGTAAGTGAAGGTAGGAAGGAAGGACTTAAAAAGCTCTGGAAGAGGTGGAGTGGGGTGGCTTATGCCTGTAATCCCAGTACTTTGGGAGGCCGAGGCGGGCGGATCCCTTGAGGTTAGGAGTTCGAGACCAGCCTGGCCAACATGTTGAAAACCCATCTCTATGGAAAAAAAAAATACAAAAAAAAATTAGCCGGGTGTGGTGGCGTGCACCTGTAATCCCAACTACTCAGGAAGCTGAGGCAGGAGAATTGCTTGAACCCAGGAAGTGGAGGTTGCAGTGAACTGAGATCACGCCACTACATCCCAGCCTAGGCGACAGAGTGAGACTGTGTCTCAAAAAATAAAAATTAAAAAATAAAATAAAGGCCGGGCACAGTAGCTCACGCCTGTAATCCCAGCACTTTGGGAGGCCGAGGCTGATGGATCACCTGAGGTCAGGAGTTCAAGACCAACCTGGCCACTATGGTGAAACCCTGTCTCTATTTAAAAAATATAAAAATTAGCTGGGTGTAGTGGTGTATGCCTGTAATCACAGCTACTTGGGAGGCTGAGGCAGGAGAATTGCTTGAATCTGGGTAGCGAAGGTTGCAGTGAGCTATCACGCCACTGCACTCCAGCCTGGGCGACAGAGCAAGACTCTTTCTCAAAAATAAAATAAAAATACAAAAATTAGCCAGGTGTGGTGGCGGGCACCTGTAATCCCAGCTACTCGGGAGGGTGAGGCATGAGAATTGCTTGAACTTAGGAGATGGAGGTTGTAGTGAGCTGAAATTGCACCACTGCACTTCAGCCTGGGTGACAGAACAAGCGATAACTCCATCTGGAAAAAAAAAAAAAAGCTGAAAGAGTTGGGTGTGATGATGTGGAGGACATGCATGTTGACGTGAGGGTACTTGGGTTTCCATCTTGGTAGTGCCACTTACTGAGGTCAACTATATAAAATTGCCATTTCTGGCCGGGCGTGGTGGGTCACGCCTGTAATCACAACACTTTGGGAGGCCAAGGTGGGGGGCTTATTTGAGGTCAGGAGTTCGAGACCAGCCTGGGGAACATGGTGAAACCCTGTCTCTACTAAAAATACAAAAAAAAAAAAATTATCTGGGTCTGGTGGCACACACCTATAATTCCAGCTACTAGAGAAGCTGAGGCAGAAGAATCACTTGAACCCAGGAGACGGAGGTTGCAGTGAGCCAAAATCACGCCACTGCACTCCAGCCTCGGCGACAGAATCAGACTCCATCTCAAAAAAAAAAAAAAAAGCCATTTCTCTATGTCAGGAATGGCTGAATATTGGCAGCTTCATATGGGTCAATCTCATGAGCCCTTGGGCAAGTCACTTGCCTTCCTATGCCTCAGTTTCCTCATCTGCAAAATAGAGATTACCTTAGCACCTACCACGTAGAATTGTGGTGAACCTTGAATGAACTGACATGGAAGGTGCTTAGAGCAGGGCCCAGCATGTGCTGACATTGGTTATGAATAATTATCCCACCTCCCAGAATTGTAGGAAGGATGGAGAGAGGTGGGGTCCATGAGAGAGCCTTTGTCACAGGCCATGTGCCCATCAGCTTGGAGTCACCGTCCTGCCCCTGGGCAAGTCACTGATGACCATGGGCCAGAACAAAGTGTGACATTCAGTTGTGCAGCTTTGTCACTGCTTGGGGACACCCTTAGGGGCCCTGCCTCCTCAGCGGCTAACTCCATAGGTGGGTCTATGTCTCCGTCTTTGGAATTTGCCGTGGTTTGATGAGGCTAATGCCAACTCCTTCTTCTCACGCTGCCACCGCCTGGGGGCTGAGAATGACAAGCCTCATAGGACACCTTAAGCAGTGACAAAGGGAGGCAGAAGAGAGTCTTTGGCATCCCTAAGGCCAAAAGGAACCTGAAAGGCTGGCTTGGCCTCTGCCCACCTGTGCCCTGGAGGAAGAGAAATCTTGACTTACACAAAGATGATGTGTGGGTTAGAGTCCACCTTGGAAGCATCCTCTCCTTCCTGTTCACCCACCCTGCTCAGCAGGGCAGGGAGAGGCTGCCTTAGGCCCTGCTACCCACACTGGCCTCTGTGTTTCTGTCTCCTCCCTGTCTCCCCAGTCCCGCATGGTTCAGAATGAGACCCCCTACTTCATCTGGACCACTCGGCGGGATGTGCTCGACTGTCGCTTCCTCTCCAAGGATCAGATGATAAACCACTACGCCCGGGCTGGCTCCTTTACCACAAAGGTGGGCTCCCTAGAGGAGCAGGCAGGGCAGCCTCTAACTCCCCACCCTTGGGCTGGCAGCCCTCCTCCCTGCTCTCCTTGTTAGTAAGAGGAAGTTCTCAGGGCAAGGGGAAGTATATAATTCAGAAGATTTGGAGTCTGACCAGCATCTGGCTGGTTCAAATCCAGCCCCTGCACCGTATCTGGCATGTGTAGATATAGTGACTAAAATGGGCTCCGGCATTCAAATGGGTCTGGAGGTAGAACAATCACCAAACCCAATGATAGTGAGCAAGCAGACTCTTAACCTCCTAAGCAGAAGATATCTGGCTAATGAACCCATTCTGTCTTACCTGGGTTTCTTTTTTTTTTTTTTTTGAGTGGAGTCTCACTCCGTCTCCCAGGCTGGAATGCAGTGGTGCAATCTCTGCCCACTGCAATCTCTGCCTCTCAGGTTCAAGCAATTCTTCTGCCTCAGCCTCCTGAGTAGCTGGGACTACAGGTGCGTGTCACCACACCTGGCTGATTTTTGTATTTTTTAGTAGAAATGGGGTTTCATCATGTTGGCCAAGCTGGTCTTGAGCTCATGACCTCAGGTGATCCACTTCAGCTTCCCAAAGTGCTGGGATTACAGGCATGAGCCATCATGCCCAGCCTTACCTGGGTTTCTTAGCAAGTGACTTCACCTCTCTGAGCCTCAGTTTTCTCATCTTTCAGTGAGAATACCAGTAAGGACTGTCTTCTGGGATTGTGGCAAGGATGAAGGGCTTTATAATAATGACCTGCCATTATATTATTGGTGTGGGTTAGGAAGGATTCTAGAAGAAGCAGCTCTTGTTTTCTATTTTTAAGAGGTGAGGTCTTGCTATGTTGCCCAGGCTGGTCTTGGCCTCAAGCAGTCCTCCTACTTCAGCCTCCCAGAGTGCTGGGATTACAGGTGTAAGCTACTGCGCTTGGCCTTGGCAGCTCTTTAAGAATGTGAAAGGGTGGGCCAGGCGCAGTGGCTCACGCCTGTAATCCCAGCACTTTGGGAGGCCGAGGCGGGCAGATCACAGGTCAGGAGATCGAGACCATCCTGGCTAACACGGTGAAACACCGTCTCTACTAAAAATACAACAAATAAGCCGGGCATGGTGATGGGTGCCTGTAGTCCCAGCTACTCTGTAGGCTGAAGCAGGAGAATGGTATGAATCTGGGAGGCGGAGCTTACAGTGAACTGAGATTGCGCCACTGCACTCCAGCCTGGGCAACAGAGTGAGAGTCCATCTCAAAAAAAAAAAAAAAAAAATGTGAAAGAGTGGACAGGAGGGACGTCAGGCATTCTTGGCAAAGGACACTGCCCAGGCAAATATATGGTGATAGATGTGAGCAACTCAGACCTTGCAAGTGGGGCCAAGGCTCTGAGAGCATATCCAGTTGGGGTCTTTCTGAGCTGTCTGGGTGTGTGCTGAGTGTGGGCAGTCCCGCCCTGCCCTCTCAGCACTAACTCCGTAGGTGGGTCTATGTCTCAATCTCCGGAATTTGCCGTGGTTTGATGAGGTTGATGCCAATTCCTTCTTCCCACGCTGCTACCGCCTGGGGGCTGAGGATGACAAAAAAGCCTTCATAGGTAAGGAGACCCCCAGCCCCATGCCTGGACCTCAGGCTGACGGAGCAGGGCTGAAGCTCTGGCTCATGTTGGAGAGCAACAGGCCTCTCTTCATGTCCTCGTCTGCCCCAGCAGATTTCCTTTTCCACCCTCAATCCTTATCCTTCCCTAATGTGCCCTCCCTTAATGAGCCTCTTAGCTTGGTCAACTCTGACCTCCAGAAAAGCTCAGGTAGCTTGGCTTATATTCTAGAGCAGGTTCTAAAAGTTGTTCAGTCCCTTGAGTTTGGAATCCAGAACAGATTCCAGGCTTATATCAAGTTCCACTTGTTGAATTGGGTTCCAAAAAAGGCTGCAGGTTTTGGGTTTCTAAGGCAGACTAGGTTCCAATTCCACAATATGTTCTAAATTCAGGTTAGAATTTGGATCCAGATTCTATGCTAGGTTTAAATTACATTCAAAATCTGAAATATGACATAGTCTGGTTCTCAGGATAGAATAAGTATCAAAAGTAGGTGATGAACAGAAGAAATAAATCAGACAATGGGTCCAAGCCAGATTCTGAAGGCAGAATATGATCCAGGTCAGGTCAGATTTGGGGTCTGGTTCCACGACTGAAACAGGAGCAAGTCCTTTTTTTTTTTTTTTTTTTGAGACGGAATCTCACTCTGTCACCCAGACTGGAGTGCAGTGGCTCGATCTTGGCTCACTGCAAGCTCCGCCTCCCAGGTTTATGCCATTCTCCTGCCTCATCCTTCCTAGTAGCTGGGACTACAGGCGCCCGCCACCACACCCAGCTAATTTTTTGTATTTTTAGTAGAGACGGGGTTTCATTGTGTTAGCCAGGATGGTCTCGTTCTCCTGACCTCGTGATCCACCCACCTCGGCCTCCCAAAGTACTAAGATTATAGGCATAAGCCACTGCGCATGGCCTGAAACAGGAGCAAGTTCTAAACTCAGACTCTAGAGTCAGAAAAGGTAGAGTCAGGTTCTGGATCCAAAATGGGGCAAGTCATGATCAGGTTCTGGAACCAGAACAGGCCTCAAGCCTAGGGGCTGAGCAGGGTATCCCCTGGCCTGGGAGCAGAGGACTTCTGGCTGACAGCTGCCCGCAACGTTCTCAAGCTGGTGGTGAAGTCTGAGTGGAAGTCATACCCTATCCAGGCAGTAGAGGAAGAGGCCTCAGGTAAGTACTGTGATTACCTCCACTCTCCCACCCATTTATCCTCTACCCATCTGCCCTTCCACCTATCTGCCCTTCTACCTATCTACTCATCCACCCACCTACTGGTTCATTCACACATCTGTGTATGATTCACATCTACCCATCTATCCATCCATCCATCCATCCATCCATCCATCCATCCATCCACTCATCCATTCACCTATGTACCCACTTATTTACCCACTCTCTGATCTACCGATTCACCCACCCACACTTCCATTCATCCTTCCATCCTCCCACCTGTCACCCATTGTTAATCTCTTCATTCATCTACCTGACGTCAGCTCCATACTTCCCATCCATCTATCCACTCCCTGCCTACCTATCCTTCCACAGATCCATCTACCCATCTACCTACCTGCTATTCCATTCTCCTGTCTACTACCTATCTGTCCTCCAGTCCATCCACTCATCCATTTTTCTGTCCCAGGTACCTAGACACTTGTCTTCCCATCCATTTGTTAGTTGATCCACTCCTCATTCCGCCCTCCCATGGGCCTGGCATGTGGCCAAGCACCCTGGAGAGGGGAGACTAAGAAGACATGGTCCATCCCTGCCTGTGAGGAGCTCAGGTCTCTGAGGAGGAGGAAGCAGTGAAACTGGGCTTTACACATGGCCCAAGAACAGCGTAGGCCTGAACATAAGGAAGAGCTTGGAGTGAAGGGGGACACAGAGGAACCCTCACTATCATTGCATGCCAGCCCAACCACTGCCTGCCCTTTCCCTTTCTGGATTTAGCTCGTGCCTCCAGGCTCCTAGTCCTGTAATCCAGGGACCCATCAGTGAGGGATTCAGGGAAGTAGAGGCAGCTCTCCAGGAAGGAGGAAAATCCCTGCCTCTTCCAGAGGGAGACCTCCCCATTGCTGTCTCTTGCATGTGTCACGTACAGGGAAGGCTTGGTTGTGTGCCAGGATAAGGGGCAAAAGGGCCTCGGGCGTGGCTAGAGACCCCGTGCTTAAGCTTTTATGGTATAGGTCAGGCTGCAGGGGTCTGAGGGCCTCAGCTGTATATCAGGGTCTTCAGTGCACTGCGATGTTCTGGGTGAGTCAGGTCTGTGGATGTGCATGGGGGTCTTCTGAAGGGTCAGTTTCTGTAATCACTTTCAGGTGTGTCAGGGCCTTGTGCAATAACAGTGCACACAGAGGTTAGTGCTTCTGTGGGCTAAGGGTTGTAGCTCTGTGTCAGGATTCTGGGAGTGGGTCTGGATTTCTGGTGTGTGGACTTAAGAAGCTGTGTCAGACGTGGGGGAGGGGTATTCATGTATAACTGGGTTCACATAGGCCAAGGCTCCCAGGTGCATTTTAGGCAGAGCCTCAGGTGTCTTACAGGTCCCAGGGGCAGAGAGGCTATAGGTGCTGTCAGAGGACTTGGGGACATTTAGGGCAGAGTCTTAAGTGAGTGACAGGTCCTGGGACAGTGGGAGCCAGGGGCAAGTGCTAGAGTTGCAGTGAATTAAGAGCAAAGCCTCAGCTAAGTGACACATCCCAGGGCAGTAAGGGATCTATCTAGGTACGTGCTGGGCCGCATGTAAGTGACAGGCCTCAGGACAATGGGGGCTGTGGCATGTGTCAGGTTACCTGCCTGGATATGGGATCGTGACAGGCCCCTCCCTATGTGCAGGAGACAAGCAGCGCAAGAAACAGGAGAAAAACCCAGTGTTGGTGTCCCCAGAGTTTGTGGATGAAGCTCTGTGTGCGTGCGAGGAGTACCTTAGCAACCTGGCCCACATGGACATCGACAAGGACCTGGAGGCCCCACTGTACCTCACCCCTGAGGGCTGGTCCCTCTTCCTCCAGCGCTACTACCAAGTGGTCCAGTGAGTCCTCTGCAGCTGGGACTTTGGGCTGTGGGCAGGTGTTTAGGGACAGGCCCTTTCTGTCTCGGGCAGCCCCCACCTCTTCCCCAAGCCTCCCGCTCATTTACCCTGCTGTTCTTCTGCTCGGGAACCCTCAAGGACTCCCACTGCCTCCATGATAGGGTCTGGGCCACTCTTCTTGGTTCTTGGCATAGCATAGTCTCTAAGAGCATGGCTTGTGCCACCAAATGGACAGCACATTGCCCAAAGTGTGTGTTGTATGGATGTTAATTCTCCAGGAAGTAAATAGATTTTATGGAAAAAGGGCTTTTGTGGTCCATCACATTTGGAAAACACTGGATTAAGCAGTTAATTAAAGAGGCTTCCCTGGGGCAGTACTCTTCAGAACCTCTGGGTGGTGTAAGCCTACAGAGTGTATCCTGTATACTCTGTAGGCTCCCACCCTGCCCTGCCTCCCACCAAGCATCCTGAGGGGCAGTGCTTTCTTTTTTTTTTTTTTTTTTTTTCCTTTTTTGAGACGGAGTCTCGCTCTGTCGCCAGGCTGGAGTGCAGTGGCACAATCTCGGCTCACTGCAAGCTCTGCCTCCTGGGTTCACGCCATTCTCCTGCCTCAGCCTCCCGAGTAGCTGGGACTACCTACAGGCGCCCGCCACTACGCCCGGCTAATTTTTTATATTTTTAGTAGAGACGGGGTTTCACCATGTTAGCCAGGATGGTCTCGATCTCCTGACCTCGTGATTCGCCCTCCTCGGCTTCCCAAAGTGCTGGGATTACAGGTGTGAGCCACTGCGCCTGGCCTGGGGCAGTGTTTTCTGAACACACTTTGGAGAAAGGTTCTCAGGCGGGGGAAGGGAGGATCAAGGTGAGCCTGGTGCTGCTTTAGGGAGATTCCATTCAGGAGAAGCATGCAGGAGCGACTGGAGGGAGAACAGCCTGGAAGGCAGAACACACAGTAAGCATTTTTTGAGCAACTCCAATGTGCCAAGCATTGTGCCAGGTACCAGAAATGAAGCGTAGCCCCTGTTCTCAACCGGGACACAGCTCAAGGTTTGAGACCTGCAGGAAGCCAAGTGGGAGTGCTAGGAATCTCAGCTGGGGTGGTGGTAATGGAAAGAAATTGACAGATTTAATTACTCAATAGGGGAAACTGAAGAACAGAAACAAATGGACAGATTTAATTACTCAATAGGGGAAACCGAAGAACTAATGAATGACATGAGCAGCAGATCCACGTCATTAGCAAGTAATTCATTGCATCTTTTCTAAATGTCAGGAAATAACTTAAGTGACCCAATACTTTCTCTTTAGCTACTGGAAAATGTAAAGCTACCCATCTTAAATTAAGAATTATCAAGGCAGCCAGACGTGGTGGCTCACACCTGTAATCCCAGCACTTTGGGAGGCGGAGGCGGGCAGATCACTTGAGGTCAGGAGCTGGAGACCAGCCTGGCCAATATGGCGAAACCCCATCTCTACTAAAAATACGAAAATTAACTGGCCTGGTGGCACATGCCTGTAATCCCAGCTACTCAGGAGCCACTGAGTAGTGTGAGCCACTGCACTCAGCCTAATTCGTTCAATATTTACTGTTAATGCTTCTCAACTTTTTAAAAAAACAAATCTACTCGGGGCGGTGGCTCATGCCTGTAATCCTAGCACTTTGGGAGGCCAAGGCTGAGACAGGAGAATTGCTTGAATCCGGGAGGCAGAGGTTGCAGTGAGCCGAGATCGTGCCACTGTACTCCAGCCTGGGTGACAGAGCGAGACTCCGTCTCAAAAAAAAAAAAAAAAAAAGAATTTTCGAGACTTAGAACATTAGTCATGAAGCACGAGTCCTTTTTATTTCTGGTGTGTGGGGGCAGGTTCTAGAGGGCTATAGGAATCTCTCTAAAGTCGGGATTACATAAAATATTGCATCATATAACAGACGTACACAGTGTTGAATGGTTCAGTACAAATGACCAGCATTCATACATTCCTTCAATATTTTATTTTAGTTTAGTTTTTTGAGACAGGATCTTACTTTGTCACCCAGGCTGGAGTGCAGTGGTGCAATCTTGGCTCAGTACAACCTCTGCCTCCCAGGCTCAAGTGATTTTTCCCACTTCAGCCTCCTGAGTAGCTGGGACTACAGGTATGTGCCACCAGGCCTGGCAGATTTTTGTTTGGTGGGCCTACAAACAAAAATTTGTGGGTTTTTTTTGTTTGTTTGGTTGGCCTAATTCATTCAATATTTACTGTTAATGCTTCTCAACTTTTTTTAAAAAACAAATCCACTCGGGGCAGTGACTCACGCCTGTAATCCCAGCACTTTGGGAGGCCAAGGCTGGTGGATCATGAGTTCAGGAGTTCAAGACCAGCCTGGCCAATATGGTGAAACCCCATCTTTTGTAAAAATACAAAAATTAGTGGCCAGGTGCGGTGGTTCACACCTGTAATCCCAGCACTTTGGGAGGCTGAGGTGGGCGGATTACCCAGGTCATGAGATCGAGACCATCCTGGCCAACATGGTGAAACCCCGTCTCTACTAAAAAATACAAAAAAATGAGCCAGGCGTGGTGGTGGGCACCTGTAGTCCCAACTACTGGGGAGGCTGAGGCAGGGGAATGTCATGAACCCAGCAGGTGGAGCTTGCAGTGAACTGAGATCACGCCAGTGCACTCCAGCCTGGGCGACAGAGCGAGACTCCGTCTTGGAAAAAAAAAGCCACCCAGTTTTTTGTTTGTTTGTTTGTTTGGATTTTAAGAACTAAGCCAGCCAGGTTTTCATCAAGGTTGACTTTTCATTAAAATACTGTTGTTGTTGTTTTTCTTTTCACTAACTATAAAATCATATTGTCATGTCGAATATACTTTTTCAAATTACATTCCTGTGTGATACTTTCCTGGGCCACATCACAGATTACTGAACAGATGCTTCATGCTACGGACCACAGAAAAGTTTATCAGGACATAGGTGTGAGTACTGCTGGGAGACCTTGCCTAGCCCCCTGCATCTTGCTGTACCTGTTCCTGGCACTGCCCCAATGGCTGCTGCCTCCTCCTTAAAAAAGAGAAAGTTCTCCATGACTGGAGACATTCAAGATGCTAAAGTGTTACAGAGTTAGCTTCCCCTGAATAGGAGGCTCCTGTCTTATTCATTCAGAAGGAAAGAAATGGGAGAGTCTGGATGAGGTAGCCATCTGGTGTATTTTGTGACTTGGTTTAGTTCAGGACATTTTCTGTCCTGTAGAGAACAGGGTCACTCTTTGTCCATGAAACCCTGTCTGTGCAGCCCAGTTGCTGAGGCAGGCTCCTACCAAAGTACTTGCTGAGCCAACCGTTAATTCACTGAGCAAACTTTTAGGGAGTACCTGCTGAGTGCCAGGTGTGGTGCTTGGGGATGGGGATTACAGCAGAGAACAACTACAAAAAATGTTGCTGCTCTTACAGAGTTTACATTCTAGTTAGGGGATTCAGACAATAACCAAATAAGCAGATGTGTCAGGTGGGGGTAAATGATGGGGAGAAAAGCAAGAAGAGGTGTGATATAGATGTGCTTGAAAGGAATTAGGCTAACATTGTATCAGTCAATATTAGGCGCAGATTAAGAGAGGAATGAACCCCAAAAAGCACCTATGCATGGAGGAATCAGACAGGACAGAGTTTGAATCCTGGCTGTACCACTCAGCTTTTAGTGTATGGCCTTGGGTAAGTCCCTTAACTCTCAAAGCTTCAGTTTACGTTTTGTTTTTTTTTTTTTGAGATGGAGTCTCGCTCTGTTGCCCAGGCTGGAGTGCAATGGTGTGATCTCGGCTCATTGCAACCTCTGCCTCCTGGGTTGAAGCGATTCTCCTGCCTCAGCCTAATGAGTAGCTGGGATTACAGGTGCCCACCACCACGCCTGGCTAATTTTTGTATTTTTAGGAGAGACAGAGTTTCACATGTTGGCCAGGATGGTCTCGATCTTTTGACCTCGTGATCCGCCCACCTCGGCCTCCTAAAGCGCTGGGACTACAAGCATGAGCCACTGTGCCTGGCCCAGTTTACTTTTTATTTTATTTTAATTTAATTTAATTTAATTTAATTTTATTTTTTTGAGACCGAGTCTTGCTCTGTCACCCGCCCAGGCTGGAGTGCAGTGGCGGGATCTTGGCTCACTATAACCTCTGCCTCCCTGGTTCAAGTGATTGTCCTGCCTCAGTCTCCCAAGTAGCTGGGATTACAGGCACCTGCCACCATGCCTGGCTAATTTTTGTATTTTTAGTAGAAACGAGGTTTCACCATGTTGGCCAGGTTGTTCTCGAACTTCTGACCTCTGGTGATCCGCCTGCCTCCGCCTCCCAAAGTGCTGGGATTACAGGCATGAGCCACCGTGCCTGGCCCAGTTTACATTTCTCTAAAATGGGACCAGTACCGGGTGTGGTATCTCATGCCTGCAATCCCAGCACTTTGGGAGGCTGAGCAGGAGGATCGCCTGAGGCCAGGAATTCAAGACCAGCCTGGGTAACATAATAAGACCCATCTCTGCCAAAAATAAAAATTAGCTTGGATGTGGTGGCATATGCCTGTAATTCCAACTACTTGGGAGGCTGAAACTTGGACCTAGGAGTTCCTGGCTGCAGTGAGCCATGGTTTCACCACTGCACTTCAGCCTGGGTGACAAACCAAGACCCTGTCTCCAAAAAACAAAACAAAAAAAAAGTCGGGGGGCAGAGGGTGGGGTATCAGTAATACTTCCCTGGCAGGGCCTTGAGGGGATTAGTGAAAATATATGGAAAGCCCTTGTCACAGTGCCTGGCACATAGTGGTGCTTTATCATTAGGAACTGGAAAGATTAAATTCTGTCAAAGACAGTTTTAATATAATAGGAAGGGGAGTGGCACAGGTGGAGTGCTGGAGTAGGGGGTGGTTTGCAGTTAATGGAATTTTATCAACCTTTCCCTTTCCTGTAGTCTGGGGAGGTTAGGATTTCAGGGGTGGCTTGAAGGTGGGGCCAGAGGCTTGGGAGGGACCTATGGATATCTGCAGGGAGGGCGTGACCGAGGCTGCCTGGAAGACAGTGGGGGGTGGTGGAATATATCTCCCCTTGCCCTCTCCACCCACATGTCCCAGGTCCAGCCCTGCCCAAGTTCCATCATTTCCCCACAGCGAAGGGGCAGAACTCAGGCACCTCGACACTCAGGTCCAGCGCTGTGAGGACATCCTGCAGCAGCTGCGGGCCGTAGTACCCCAGATAGACATGGAAGGGGATCGCAACATCTGGATTGTGAAGCCGGGAGCCAAGTCCCGCGGACGAGGTGGGGGTCAGCTCCTACTTCCTGCCTTGGCACCTCCCATCTCCCAGTAAAGGCCAAGGAAGTTAATAGTGTAGGTCTATTGAAGCCAGATTGCCTGGGTTTGAGTCCTAGCTCTGCTACTGATATTCTTCGTGACCTTGAGCAGGTTTTATCACCTCCCTGAACCCCAGTTCCCTCATCTGTGAAATGAGGAGGATGATAATACCTCCTGTGAGGTGAGGATTAAATGCAGTCATGCATCTAAAGCACAATTCCAAATCCTTAACATGCTTTAATTTATACAATCCTGGGAAACTAAGGCATGTGTAGGCTCTCACATGATCCGGAAGGATATCCATAAGGACCTGGAAGCAGCAGTTGGCTGCCCCTGGACAAGGAGATGTAATTTTTATTGTATGCCCTTTTGTACTGTCTAATTTTTGTTTTGTTTTATAGTCTATTTATTATTGGTAGGAAAGTAATAGGTGCACATACTTTTAAAAAGCCCAACACTGGCCGGGCGCGGTGGCTCACGCTTGTAATCCCGGCACTTTGGGAGGCCGAGGCGGGTGGATCACTTGAGATCAGGAGTTGGAGACCAGCCTGGCCAACATGGTGAAACCCTGTCTCTACTAAAAATACAAAAATTGGCCACATGTGGTGGCAGGCACCTGCAATCCCAGCTACTCAGGAGACTGAGGCAGGAGAATCGCTTGAACCCGGGAGGCAGAGGTTGCAGTGAGCCGGGCTCGTGCCACTGCACTCCAGCCTGCACATACTTTTAAAAAGCCCAACACTGGCCAGGCGCGGTGGCTCAAGCCTGTAATCCCAGCACTTTGGGAGGCCGAAACGGGTGGATCACGAGGTCAGGAGATTGAGACCATCCTGGCTAACCCGGTGAAACCCCGTCTCTACTAAAAATAAACACAAAAAACTAGCCGGGCGTGGTGGTGGGCGCCTGTAGTCCCAGTTACTCGGGAGGCTGAGGCAGGAGAATGGCGTAAACCCGGGAGGTGGAGCTTGCACTGAGCTAAGATCCGGCCACTGCACTCCAGCCTGGGTGACAGAGCAAGACTCCGTCTCAAAAAAAAAAAAAAAAAAAAAGCCCAGCACTTTAAATTTGTAGCCATGTATATATTCCTGTTTAATCAAACAAAACTGGTTAATTAGGAAAAATTTAAAATCCTTAGCAAATTCCTGGCTTTCTCAAAGGGAACTGAGTTCTGGTTGAGGGAGACCGCCTTACCCACGCAGCCCTATCAGCTCCGAGGGGATGAGAGCTCATGACAAGCTGGCCCTTCTCCCAGCCCACACCTGACCTTTCAATCCCTGACTGCCCTCTTCCCCCGTAGGCATCATATGCATGGACCACCTGGAGGAGATGCTGAAGCTAGTGAATGGCAACCCCATGGTGATGAAGGACGGCAAATGGGTGGTGCAGAAGTATATTGAGCGGCCCCTGCTCATCTTTGGCACCAAGTTTGACCTGAGACAGTGGTTCCTGGTAACTGACTGGAACCCACTTACTGTGTGGTTCTACCGCGACAGCTATATCCGCTTTTCCACACAGCCCTTCTCCCTGAAGAACCTGGACAAGTGAGCCCCTCTGTTCGCCTCCCACAAGCTCCCTGCCTAGTTGGGGAACTGGCAAGCAAACAGGCAATTACAGTGCAGGGGACTCGCGCAGCAGCGCTAGGCTCCATACACAGACTGCAGGCAGGCGGGCTCTCATCCAGCCAGCTGTCCTTGCATCCAACAGATTTTTTATTTTTATTTTTTTTGACAGGGGGTGGTCTCACTCTGTTGCCTAGGCTGGAGTGCAGTGGCATAGTCACGGCTCACTGTAGCCTTGACTTTCTGTGCTCAAGCAATCCTTCCTCCTCAGCCTGCCAAGTATCTGAGACCACAGGCATGTACCACAGCTGATTTTTGAATTCTTTTATGTAGACATGGGGTCTCACTATGTTGCCCAGGCTGGTCTCAAACTCCTGGGCTCAAGCAATCGTCCCACCTTGGCTTCCTAAAGTGCTGGGATTACATTGTGCCTGGCCCCTCCAACAGATTTGATCAAGTGTGTACCTTATGCCATGCACTGTTCTGGGCACTTGGGGTATAGCAGTGAACAAAACAAGATCCTGGCTGTCAAGGGCTTACATTCTAGCAGGGAGAAACAGACAAGCAATGAACACAAGTGAAATTATCTAACAGGTTCAAAGATTATTTGGGCCAGGCGCAGTGGCTCACGCCTGTAATCCCAGCACTTTGGGAGGCTGAGGCAGGCAGATCACCTGAGGTCAGGAGTTCGAGACCAGCCTGACCAATATGGTGAAACCCCGTCTCTACTAAAAATATAAAAATTAGCTGGGTGTGTTGGCGGGCACCTGTAGTCCCAGCTACTCGGGAGGCTGAGACAGGAGAATTGCTTGAACCTGGGAAGTGGAGGTTGCAGTGAACTGAGATCGTGCGACTGCACTCCAACCTGGGCAACAGAGCAAGACTCTGTCTCAAAAAAAAAAAAAAAAGATTGTATTTGTCATTGGGGGAAAAAGGGAAGCAAATGTAGAGCAGGGGAAAGGAGGTCAGAAGTTTTGAAAACCAAGATGTCGTGTTAAGTTCTGGGGTGAGAGAAAGCCTTGTTGAAGCCTGAATTCAAATTCTGTCTCTGCAGCTTCCAAGTTGTTTGACTCTGGTCATGTGAAAACCTATTTAAGCCTTGGTTTCCACATCTGAAGAATGGAGGCAGTAGTATGAAATTCATAGCTATCAATTATTGAGTGCTTCATATGTGATAGTGCTAAGCACTTTGTATCCATTATCTTATTCTTCATAAGAACCCAGTGAATACTTCCTATTCACCAGGTCTGAAGAAAAAAATAAAAAACAGTGAAGTGGGTACTGTTACTACCCTCATTTTGCAGATGTGAAGAGCACGCAGGTTAGATGACTTGCCTAAGGTCTCACAACTAGTGTGGAGATGGCACTTGACCACGTCCTGGTGATGACGGGGCCATACCCTTACTCACCCTCTTATCTTCCAAACACTGAGATGGTTAACCGAGACTAGGCACAAAGCACTTAGTACTGTGGCCCCCATAATTAGCGCCCTCAGAGCAGCCCTGAGAGATAACAGTAGTTCTGGCCCTAAAGGAATGTGGTGGGGCCCAGGCCTCTGTCCTTTTTGTCCTTCCCAGTAGGGCCCCATCTCCAGTTGAATAGTGCAGGGTGGCCCAGGGCTGGTTCCAGGACTTGCCTGTCCTCCCTGAACTTGGATGGGAGAGACACAAGGGCCTGGACTTCAGTTTTCTGCTCTCTGCCCCAGCTCAGTGCACCTGTGTAACAACTCCATCCAGAAGCACCTGGAGAACTCATGCCATCGGCATCCACTGCTTCCCCCAGACAACATGTGGTCCAGCCAGAGGTTCCAGGCCCACCTGCAGGAGATGGGGGCCCCAAATGCTTGGTCCACCATCATCGTGCCTGGCATGAAGGATGCTGTAATCCACGCACTTCAGACCTCCCAGGACACTGTGCAGTGTCGGAAGGCCAGCTTTGAGCTCTATGGTGCTGACTTTGTGTTCGGGGAGGACTTCCAGCCCTGGCTGATTGAGATCAACGCCAGCCCCACCATGGCGCCCTCCACGGCAGTCACAGCCCGGCTCTGTGCTGGCGTGCAAGCTGACACCCTGCGCGTGGTCATTGACCGGCGGCTGGACCGTAACTGTGACACAGGAGCCTTTGAGCTCATCTATAAGCAGGTGAGGAGCTTGGGCCCAGGCAGGACCCCAGAGAGTCTGCACCCTCTTCCAGGCAGCCCCATAGTGGAGCATAGGACTCTGCAGTCAGACCCAGTTTAAGACCCAGATTCAAGTCCTGGTCCTGCTAAGGTGACCTCACCTCCTTGAGCCTCAGTCTCCTGATCTTTGAAATGGGGATATTATTACAAACTTTCTCATGGGAATGGGAGAATAAAATGAATTAGTGTATGGGGATAATATTTCTAGAGAGGCATATAGCATAGTCATAAGAGCAGAGATTCTGGAATCTCCTTGGTTTCTTCTTTTTTTTCGAGATGGAGTCTCGCTCTGTCTCCCAGGCTGGAGTGCAGTGGCCCGAGTTTGGCTCACTGCAAGCTCCGCCTCCTGGGTTCACGCCATTCTCCTGCCTCAGCCTCCCGAGTAGCTGGGACTACAGGCGCCCGCCACCGCGCCTGGCTAGGTTTTTTTTTTGGTATTTTTTAGTAGAGACGAGGTTTCACCGGGTACGCCAGGATGTCTCTGAACTCTGGAC